GTTGTCTGTTTACTCTGTTGATTATCTCTTTTGCTGTGCAGAAACTTTCTAGTTTGTTTAAATCTCCTTTGTTTATTTCTGTTTTTGTTGCATTTGATTTTAGGGTCTTACTCATAAATTCTTTGTATAGGTTTGTCCAGAAGAGTTTTTCCTAGGTTTTCTTATAGAATTTTTATTAGTTTTAGGTCTTACATTTAAGTCTTTAATCCATCTTGAGTTAATTTTTGTATATGGTGAGAGACAGGGATCCAGTTTCATTCTTCTGCATTTGGCTATCCAATTTTCCTAGCTCCAGTTATTGCATAGGCTGTCCTTTCTCCAGTCTATGTTTTTGTCTGCTTTGTCAAAGATCAGTTAGCTTTAAGTATATGGCTTTATTTATGAGTTCTCTATTCTGTTCCATTGATCTGTGAGTCTATTTTCATGTTACTAAACAGTACCATGCTATTTTAGTTACTACAGCCTTGTATAATTTGAAGTGAGGTAATGTAATACCTTCATCTTTTTTCTTTTTGCTTAAGGTTGCTTTGGCTATTTGGGCTCCTTTTTGGTTCCTTTTGAATTTTAGGATTGTTTTTTCCAAGGGAATTGTCAAATGTTAATGGTAGGATCTAGGTACCAGCTAGATCTGGAGGATGTTGATGCTTATGGTAAAATTATTTTAGCCTTTCTTTATGTTTGAAACATTCAAAATTAGATGTTGGCAATAAAACTGCTTAGGGGAGGATGGATTTTGGGAGAACAAGAGAGAAAATGGGCAGACCGGTGGCAAGGCAATTTTGATAAAGCAATGAGAGATGATGAAAGCCTAAATTGGAGCAGTACAGTAGAGAAGCAGAGAAGTAGAACCACTATAGCTTTGGTGGGTGAAAGTGAGATGCAATAATGATGTATCAGAAATAGGAGGTGAGGAAGAGGAAGGAATCAGTAATGATAGTCAGGATTTGAATTTATGTAGTTGAATAGATGGTGGTACTCTTGCTGTGATAGAGAAGACTGAGAGAGAAATAGATTTAAAATATGTGTGAGATGAAATCAAGAATTCTGTCTTAGACCTATGTATCAGGCTTGAGATATCCATGAGACATCTCAATGGAACTCTAAGATAAGCAGTTGGGTATATGTTTGGAAGGCAGAAGAAACAGCTAGGCTAGAGAAATATTAATGGGAGCCATTAAGAAAATATCAGCTGTTTGACCTCTCTCCCTCACTTAAATTCATGTATTGGAGCTCTAACCCCCAATGTGACTATAATCAGAGATAGGACCTTTAAGGAAAGAATTAAGGTTAAATGAGGCCATAAGGGTAGGGACCTAATCTAATAAGACTGGTGTCCCTATAAGAAAGGTAAGAGACACCATGAATGCATACACACAGAGAAAGGGCCATGTGTGGGCACAGTGAGAGATGGCCATCTGTAAGGCAAGGGTAAAGGCTTCCCCAGAACCCATTGATGCCAGCACCTTGATCTAGGATTTCCAGCCTCCAGAACTAAGAAAGTAAGTTTTTGTTGTTGAAGCCACCTGATTTGTGGTATTCTGTTATGGAAGCTCTAGTAAATTAATATGCCAGTCATGGTATTTAAAACCATGAAAATGGATATGATCACTTAGAAAGCAAGTATAAGAAGAGAAAAGTAAAGGAATCAGTCTTGAATCTTGAGGGCTATAAATATTAAGTGTCCGAACAGGCCAAGATAAAGCAGCAAAGGAGATTGAGAAAGTTAATGGGAAACTGACAAAGAAAGAGTCATAAAATCCAAGGGAAGAAAATGATTTAATAGGGAAGGAACAGCTGAGTTGAATACTGCTGCTAGGTTAGGTGAGTTGATGATGAAAGAGTCCATCAGAGTAGGAGGCATGCCGATGGCAACAAGGACAGTTTTTGAGGACAGTTAGAAATAAAGGCCAAAAACAGATTGGAGGAAAAACATTATTTACATACACACACACACACACACACACACACAAACTTACACAAGAATACTATCTATAACATGTAAAACACTGCTATAATTCAATAAGACAACCAAATAGGAAAAAAGTGGGCAAGGAATACGATAAAGAAATTCTTAGAAGAAATATGATACTCAATCTCACTCATAATTAAAAGATGCACCCCAATTTCAGAGATATTAAAATGTGAAAATAAGTATATGTAGAATTGATGAAATATAGTATTACAAAGAAGTTCATTGTATCATTGTTTTAAAAGTTATAATTGACTGATAATACTGAATTTTAAGCTTCCATAATAAGACCAAGGTAGATCTAAATATACTGACATGAAAACATGGCCACTATATTTGATGAAAAAAATGAATTTATAGGATATTTATAATATGATTCTATTTCTGTAGGACAAAAATTAATGTATGTATATATTTATGGTTTCATTAAAAATGCTGGTAGGGTCCACAGCAAACTGTGGTAATCTCTTGAAAATAAGATAGGCATAAAGTTGAAGTATATCTTTTGTTTTACTGTGTGCATAAAAGTATTTTTCTATTTTTTAAAACAAAGATAACATTTTTGCAAAACAAAGTTTATATTTTAACCTGAACAACCTGATTTGGGTGAAGTTAACTACTTGGTAATAAAATAGTAAAAGAATAACACCTTCTTTAGCATTTTGGGATTAAATGGAGTATTTCAGCAACAAGGCTTGTAAAATTGTGGAGTTTTCATGAAATCTAGATCTGAATGAATTCTAATAGAGTTATGATCTAGAACTTGTAGAATTATAAGAGTGAGAATAAGGTGTTATGGGATACTGTGGTGATGAGGTTGAGAAGCAGAGATATCATTTTCAGGCAGAATTGTATCATGGAATTTTGAGAAAGCACGGATGTTTCATCTAGCATTAAATATCCTATAATTGTCATCCTTAAATTTGGGAAATAGAATCCTTGAGATATGGGACATACGACCCTTTGTGGGTCTTCAGCTGCTAGACTTCTTATGCCTATGGGGCACACAGTAGTGCCTACCAAAAACAGACCTCTGAGTGTCAGAGGAGGACACTCTTAGAGGAGTAGATCAACTCATTGGTACAAGTTAAGGCAGCTGTCTCAGTATTCGCATTAGGAACTGGGATCGGAAATTAGTAAGGTAATCTTTAAGATACATGGGCAGTAATAACACCAATAATTTTTGTTTTATTTGCCTTATTAAAATTTTATTAAATGTAGCTGGTTTCCTTAGCTCTAGTGTAGGTATTTTGATAGGTGGATAGTTGTTTTAAATTACTGTTTCTGCACTGGATGATTGCTGGGGAGTCCTATTGTGCCATCTTGTTGCACCCCTTAGACCTAACACTCAATAATTTTAAAAAGCAGCATTGCCACAGCAAATCTCAAGTATAAATAATTATGTACCATCTTAACATAAGCTTTATACTGTTTTCATCAGGAGTGACTAAACTATTATAAAATAAGTGATGATCATCTATAAGATATTTGAGCTCTAAAATTCCATTATTCCACACAAGTCAAAATTCCCTCTACATGATGAGTTTTCTTTACAAACCACTCTGGGGATTGTTGAAGTGAGAAATAAAATGCCTTGATAATTCTAGTCTTTAAGACAGTATTTCTAAATCCACAAGATTAAATTTATGGAAAACAATGTAGACACAAAGAGATAAAGCTACTAAAAGAGGATTTAAAAAGTATAGTAACAAACTGTAAAAATATTTTTTCAGGACCATTGAAATGTGAATATGAAATGGTTACTAAATGATATTAAAGAATTGTTAATTTGGTTAGGTGTGATAAGGGTATTATTTGTTCTTATGTTCAAAAACATTAACCACTCCTCTAGCAATGCATGCTCAAGTATTTAGGGATGTAATGTCATAATGTCTGTGGTTTACTTTAAAGTACTTCAGCAAAAGATATAGATGATGCTACTATGATATATGAATGTTAAATTCAGATCATGCACATATGGCAGTTCTCTATACTCTTTCTATTCTTATGTACATTTAAAATTTTTTATAATAAAAGTTTAACAAAGTACAGGTAAAATAAAATTCTAAAGGACAAAAAGTTATATATGATTGTTTATTGGATATGCAAAATTAATTGATGCTCACGATGCCTATTTAAATCACTTCACCTCTGGGACTCTAAGTTTATTTACCTAAAAAATGAAAAAATTAGATCAGTTGTTTTTTTTTCTTTCCAATTCTGAAACGCTATATAACACAGACCATAACTCAAACGTCTGCCCGTGCCAAGTAGGTAATTCACATTAGTGAACTGGTGAAGTGCTTGCCTAAGGAGGGCGCCTATCCAGCCGAATATAGCCTTTTGATAACGTGGGTTCTGTGGTTCGAGTGGAGGAAATGCAGATTTCTATGTGAAATTCCACGTCTTTAAATGCTAACAAATGAAAAATAAAAGCCTAGGAGTGGCACAAGAGGAACCACCAAAGTCTGCGCTGCATGTTGACCGCCTCCGCGCGGTCTGCCATCTGCTGTCAGCTAGCACACCTGCAATGGGGTGGATGAGCACCGAGGGGAAGGCCAGAAGATTAGAACAGACGAAGAACACATCCAGCCAGCTGTGATCCTAGAGAGTGAATTCTGTTTCAAAATACCAGCCTACCTCTTCCTACTTTCACCTACAGTAGTAGTTGAAGTCTACACAACTCAGTAAACACCACTGGAAGAGAAAACTCGCGTTTATTATTATTATTATTATCTTTTATTATCTCTCTTCTTCCTCAGGCAATGGGAGCGCCGTGCAGCACAGCTCCATTCGGATACCACGCGGTCCTCGGCCGGCTCCTGGGGCCGCGGATGTTATACTGTCCGCGAGCGCTGGGGTGCACTCCGGGGCCTCCAGTAAAGTTATTCTGCCGCCTGGCAACCGCCGCGAACCTCCGGAGGAGTCCTTGCTTCCCTTCCCTCAGCGCTCCAGAAGAAAGCTCCCTCCGGCTTCAGACGAGGAGCTCTCAACCGGAAGTTCCGCCTTCCCGCCTGAGCGCTTCCTGTTTGGTAACTAAGGGCGCGGGACGGTTGCTAGGGCTCCGGTGGCACTACAGCGGAGCTTTGCCCGTGCCCAGGGTTGACTGTGGCGCGGCTCGCCCGCGGTGCGAGAAGGCGCACCTTTGCTCTGCACCGGCTCTCGGGTTTCCCGTACGTTTGCAGTCATGAGCGGCGAATTCCTGGCGGAGCTGCACTGGGAGGATGGGTTCGCCATCCCCGTGGCGAACGATGAGAACAAGGCACTGGAAGATGAGGTGAGGACCAGGTGAAGAAGGCGGTGGGGCGAGGGAGAGGGTCTTTTAGGGGTGTTTTCTGGTTGGCAGCACTACCCTAATCTTTTTTATTTCTCTCCTTTCCTTCCTTAATCCCGACTTTTCTCTATCTGACGCTCCCCTGCACCATCGCCTTCCTCCCTCGCCCCGACTGCCCTTTTCCGTAATCGTTAAGCATTTAAAATTTTTATTGAAACAGGAATTGATATTTAGGGCTATAAAGGCCGAATCGTTACTCTCTTCCTCACCCCCCGCCCCGTCCCCTTACTCATTTCTAGCCTCCTAGGCAGGAGAGGAAAAGGGTGTTTCCCGCGCTGGCTTTTTCCTTCCTCGAAATTAAGCACAGCTTGGAAAGGGACTTCTGAGGTTTGTGTATATTTGGAAACAAAACACGTTCTGGTTGATTTTTCTTTGTAAGTTTCTGTCTATGACGTTTAAAGATGAAAGTGACGAGATGTTTTCAGGAGGGACATTCCAATAAGAATATGAAATGTGCAGTTTACAGTTTTTCAAAGTGAAGATTAATTTGTCACAAACTTGACATAAAGTATTTTACGCTGTAAGGACGAACCTATGCCAACTATAATTCATAGAAGTTCTTTTTATCAGTCTAAAGTTCCATCACATGGTGATACGTTGTGCAGAAGAGGGTCCAAGAATAACAGATGATGCTTACACTACTTTATAAAGTAGAACAGTAAGTTATCTCATCTGTGAAAATCCCTTGACTCTACCTTTTGAAAAAAATGGAAACACTGTTTAGAATATTCTGACCTATTTACTCATGTCTAATTTAGAAGGCTGCATTTTTCTTTTTCAAAGAAGGGCAACATTAGGAAATATAAGAGATCTAGCACTGAGTATTGAGGCATAATAATGTTAAATATCCAGCCCTGGGTTGAGATCCTACTTACCAGTTCTGATTCTGTTTCTTCTTCTGTCAAATGGAGAATAAGGGAAATAATTATCTCATAGGATTGTTATAAGGCTCCAAGGACATAGACTAAAGTTCTATTCAAACATTAGTTTTGAGTATTACTGCCATAATATGTGTCCCACAGGATTTTACATACATATTACTTATGTTAGATTTTTTGAAAAAAAAATTAGAGCAGTAAAAAGAAGATAAATGAGGGCTATAATTTCTTTGCCAGAATAAACTCTGACATTAAAAGCAACTCTTAATAAATTTAAGATATTCATAAGAGGGCAGCCTCCACGGTAAGTGGCGGTGGCTCAGAGCCAGCCCGGGTCCTGCGGGCCCCGCCCGGGCCTGGCCCCTGTCCTGCCGCTCCCAGCTGCGGCTCCTGCGCCAGCCCAGCGCCTAACTCCTCGAGGACGTCCTCGTGGGCGCTGCTTTAAGGCTGTGCCCCAGCGTCCCACGGACCTACAAGGCGGGAGAGCGCCCTGGCTGGGGCAGGCAGCGTGCCTGGCTCCTTCGTGTCCCCTGGGTATCTGTGCTGGGCGTCCAGGATTATTTTCAGTGCTGCTGGACATTTAGAAGGAGCAGAGGACATCTGCATTCCCCGCTCTTCTTGGCCCTTCTCACCACAGGGCCTTTGCACAGACTGGCTTTTGTGGCAGACATGCTCTTGCTTGGGCCGGTCTCATGCCGAACCCCAGTATGGGAAGCATTTCCTAACATGTCTGACTTTCTGACACTCACTGCAGTATTCTTCTCCCAAAGACCCTCTGCTCCTCCTCCTCATGTGCCCCCTGCTTCATGCTCCCATTGACTCCCCTGCTCTTGTCCCAGAGCATGTTGTCTTCTGACACTATCAGAACGTAAGCTCCCTGAGATTTGGGGCTCCACTTGGTCCTCCGTGCAACAAGTTCAAAACAACTGCTTTCCATGGTACAAAAATATTTTTAGATACACAGAGTACAAAACTCAGGGAGCCTGAATAGGTATTTGGTGAAAACTTGGAATTTGTTCTTCACATCCCTCAGAGAGTTGGAGACCCCGTTCTCCAACCCTGGGACAGAGACAAACCAGTATTTTATTGGTCAGGAAGGAAAGCATATGCGTGTACATTTACATGTGTTTCTACAAGGCTTTGGTCACTTTACTTGGGGCTCTTTTTCTTACCATAGCTTGGAGAGTATTCCATGCAATCAGATGTATAGATTGGATTCATATTTAATCAGCAATTTATAGTACTAAAACTTATTTATCTCATTTCCTGTTGGTAGAAATCTAGGTTCTTTGCAATGTTTCATGATGAACAATGGCAAGTTGACTGTCCTAGTCTAGTACAAGCATCTTTGCACCCAAGCAGGACTGTTTCTGTAGGCTATAAATTCCTTGGTGCAGCAGTGCTAGTTCTAAGGCAGGTGTGGGAAAACTGTGGCCTTAAGGCCACATGTGGCCTTCTAGGTCCTTAAGTATGCGGCCTTTTGACTGAATCCAAATTTTACAGAACAAATTTTTTTATTTTTATTAATACATTTTTGTTTTTCTTTTATGTTTTTATTTAATTTTTAAAACAAACATATTTAAAATACCAAAGAATAAAAGAAGTTTCAACGAAATAATCTTCCCTGATTTACCGGCACTATTAGACCATTAATAAGCTCTAAGGGCTAAATTGACAGCTGCTACGTTCATGATTTAAATCTAACTTCCCCTGCCTAACTGGTGTCACTACCACTTGAGAGTTGGTGAGAGTTTATGGGGATTGAGTATGCCAGTCTGTTATCAGCTTTTGACAATGGTGCACCGCGTTTCTGTTTGAAGTGGAATTTGTGAATAGTTGCACAGCTTGACAGTATTTTTTAATTCTGTCTGCTAACAGCCCATCATGTCAAAGAAGACCAAGAGAATGCTGAAAGAAGAAAACAGATTTTTTAAGTGAGGATTGGGAATTGTAATATTATCTTGTTTCTGTTAAAGATAAGATGATTTGATTGCTTTGTGATACTGCAATATCAACATTAGAGAAAGTCAGTGCTTATCAGCATTATAGCAACCATAAGGACCACAAATGTTTTAAATTAGAGGGAGTGGCACAAAGAGTTGTATTGCCGAAATTAAAAGATTAAAAGCAAACGCAAAGACAATTCTTTCAAGCAGTAATAAGACCTGGAAATAAGCCACTGTAGCACTTATGAAGTAGCTCATATACTCAGCTGTTCAGTGATGTAGAAATTGGGAAAGAATGCATTGTTAGAGTTGTAGGATCCTTAGACCCTGATAATGTTTCAAAGTACAAACAACTGCCTATTTCAAGGAGAATCATAACTGATGGGCAGCATGAATTAGCCTTCAACTTAACAGAAAAACTTCATGCAATACTTCAAAAGGAAAATATATATTGTTCAGTTATGTTGGATGGCTCAGCTGATACTACTGATTGGGCACAGGTTTTATACTTCATTTGGGTCATAACAGAAGATTTTCTTTGCTACAAAGAGTTACTCGCTTTGTGTACTCTTGCAAACAGAACATGGAGAATAGATATCTTTGACAACTTTCAAGATAAATGTCATGAAATTGTACTGAATTTGGCAAATTTAGTGAGTGTATGTACAGACAGTGCACCTTCCATGACAGGAAGACACGAAGGGTTTATTGCACAGATGAAAGTGAACTACAGATGGAATTGATTGAGCTCTCAGTAGATGACATTTTAAAATCATTGTTTGATGCTAGGAAAGATCCAATTGAAATACGGAAAATGCAGTAGAATAACCAAGCCTTTGCCAACATGCCCCCAAAATGCTTGCTTTCTTTTCAACTACTTACTGCTGTGAATCTACATCTCCTACCTAACCCAAATCAAGACATCCTTAAGGTCACAAATGACTGATACTCATCTAGAGGATCAACTAAAAATGTGACCCTCCATGCTGCAACCAAATATTCAAGTGCTTTCCCACAGAAGGCAGACACAATGAGGTCATTAAAAGGTTACTTAATTTTAAAATTAATAAATAGTTTTCATTTTTTGAAATTATTAATACAGAGTGGTTAGATTTTACAAAATAATGTACATGTTTAAATATATCTAATTGAAGATTTTTGAAAGAAGCCTTATTTCATTACAGCCAAATTAATGTGGACTTCCAACATGAAGATTCCCCACCTTTGATCTAAGGTCTTTAAATATATGTGTAAAGGGTTGTACCAAATTGCCCACCCCCACAAACATAGGAGGTTCTGGTGTCTTCCTGCCCAAGCTTGATTTGGTAGTCTTGGTAGGCATAAAATAGTATTTCACTGTAGCTTTATTTATGTTTCCTAAGTATAATCTAACATTTTAATGCTCTGTCAGATTTATTTTATGTTGATTGTTTTTACCACTAATAATCATTTTGAAATTGGAACATGTATGGTTATTAAAAACATTTATATATCTCAAAGTCTTTTATATTAAATATTCTTTGCTCATTTTCCTTAAAAAAGATATTCAAACATAATAGAAGGATATAGAATAAAAATACAACATTTTCTCCACCAAAAGTGCTTTCTCTTGACTGTAGGAGTGACAATCATGGCATTAAACAAACATTTCAGACATCTTAGTATACAGATCTACATAAGGAAGACACATGCAGAAGTATTATAAAAATGGAATCCTAATATATACGCTTTTTTAACACAAAATATTAATTTTAGTATTTGAGAGAAGAAAAAGAAAGGAATTTTTGAATTTCAGGTCCTCTAAGAAAAATACTTAAGAAAAATTAAATTGTTTTTAAAAACTGTTTCAATTATAGATAGTACTGATTGACTCTCTGCTTTTAAAGATGAAGAAATTGGCACTTTTATACTTTTTCCCACCTTTTCTTCCCCTATTAAAATAGTGGTCTTAATATTTTTATATTATCAAAAATATATTTTATGTTAAATTTTTATATTTTTTATTTGCATTTGATTCAATATCCTTAAGTTATCCCAAGTATTTAGTGTTAGTTTTATATTTAAATAGTCCTTATTGCAACTACTTTTCTTCAGTTTATCTTGTCTTGAATTTTTCATT